ACAGCACATACGGCTAATGCATCCATGGTCGCAATACAGGAAGTGTTTGAAGACAGAATTGTCAGTAGAGGACTGTGGCCTCCCAGATCCCCAGATCTCAGTATTTCTGATTATTATCTTTGGGGCAACCTGAAGCAAAAAGTCTACAAAAATAATCCCCGCAGCATTGATAGTCTTCAAAATGAAATTACACGCGTAATTCATTCAATTACCGTCGACGAACTGCAGAGAGTGTCGCGTAATTTATTTGTGAGATGCGCGGCATGTTTGCAAGCAGGAGGAGGTCACTTTCAGCACCTGTTATAAACCACGGTAAGTTATCTTTTTACTGTATTCTTATAAATGTGTGCATGTAGAGCAACTGATGGACGGAGACTCAGCGACACCACTACACTCATGCTATCGGGGAACGGCACTGCAGTCGCGGGGAGGAGTTGCATTCGTTCTGCGGTGGTATGACTCACGGCAAATTGCAGCCGCGGCGCGCACTTGATTGTACGCACTGTACCACGGGCCTCCGAGCAGTTTGCTATATGTATTCAAGTCTTGAATATACCATTATGTCCACTGGAATATAACAAGATTGCAATAACTCACTTCATGATATGCAATATCACATGAAGAGTTTCTAACCATATTTTACTCTCCGTAACTTTCGTTTTATAGAGTTTATAATTCATTGTATTTTTATACCATGTATTTTATAATGTAACAATTATCAAGTACCCAGCTTTACTATCACAAAGAAACTGTAGTTCAATGGTATGTGAAAATAGTAATCATGTGTTTTGCTTGATGATGGCTTTAAAAGCCGAAACATATAGCTAAGGTACTTTTAACCTTGACCGTTATGTTGTTGTGTCACAACAGACTCCAATAAAGAATTGTATAAATGTTTAGTAATCACAGTGTATGAGTGTCAGCAGGATTAGACAGAAGAAAGTCAAGAAGCAAACACTGTCAGATTCTAGAGGAATGAAATATGGAAAAAGATCATACTAAAGACAAAAATGGCAGGAAATGTGGTGGCTTCCAACTGACTGCTATCCATGCCAATTTTCATAAAAATCAGCCAATATGAGCGATATACAGTGTCCAAGACTAAGTCAAGAGAACAGACATATACATTCAGAACAATGACAGGCAGAAGAAAACTCTGAAAATAATCTCCGATTCTAAAATAAAAAACACCACTTACAGACCACATAATAATCTTTATGGATAATCAGTATGAATTGTCACTTTCTGCAGAGCTGTTCATACAAAGTTCAGTCACACAAGCTGACTGGCTGGACAAGCTGGGATGACTGACAAGTTACCTAACTTTATGGCCCTGGGTCCTCCTTGATATTTATTCATCTGACTAATATAGCTACCCGCCGGTCATGGTAGCCGAGCAGTCCAAGACGTGCACTGTCTTCACTCACTCAGAAGCTGGGATTGTGGGTTCGAATCCCACTCAGGGCATGGATGTTTGTGTGTGTTTTTCTGTGTTTGTGTACAGGTAGAGGCCTTGCGACGAGCTGATCACCCGCCCAAGGAGTCCTACCGAACGTGTAAGATCTAGAAAAACCGAAGTGAATTGAGTTCATGGAGGTAGGCCTAGGCCCACTGGGGCTGTAGTGCCAAGGAAAAAAAAAAATAAAGCTACCCATATTCTCTTCTACAAGCTAAATGTTCATCACTGTGCTAAAAAAAGTCACACCTGAAGCCTCTCCCTTGTGAGTTGAACAATTCTTGGTTTATTTAACAAATACTCCTTCAGGTTCCTAGATGACACTGTGCCAAACAGCAGCATGACTCTGAAGGTTGCAAGGGAAAGGATGTGAAAGGAAGCAGTTATGGCCTACTCATGGCATTAGCCCAGAATCTGCCTGGAGGAATTCAGAAAAACACAATAAAGCAACAGTGAGGTAGCCAGTGTCTGTGCTGTGATTCAAACAATGGAACATCTAAATAAGAACTACAAATGCTAACAATGCAACCATAATGTTTTGCCTTATAGATCACACCTTCATAACACATTTATCTGTGGGCCATTTTAATACTATCTTCCCATCTATACTTAGCTCCCATAAGTTGCCTCTTTTGTCACAAGAAATGAAGCTCTTTTGGGTGAAAATATATACCCGAGTCTAGGACTAGGCAAAATGCAGTCTTACCTTTGTGCAGGAATCAGCAAGGGCAGGACACAAGATGATGCGAAGTGCAGAGCACACTTCCTGCTTGCTGCACATCCCAAGGGGGCATGCCAGACGTTGCACTTCCCTACCAATCCTTACCAGTGCCCGCTGAAGGAGATAAGACAGCCGTGGTATTGTCTCCATGGATATTCGTTCCATGTGTTCTTTAATGCGACCATTCTGTACAACTTTCAGCACATCATGGTTTGACCATGGTAGGTGCTGCAATTCTACAAGCCTGGGGAAGAGCATGACACATTAATATGGACCAAAGAAGGAAATTAGGAGACATTTGCTTCCTTTTCACAGTCCTACAAGCATCTAATTAATAGTAAAAAAAAAGAAAAGAACAGCTAAAACAAGTTTTCGTGTTCATGAAAGAAAATACAATTTCATGTGAAAAATCTGAAATATCTGAACTTTAAGGAGTTTAGATATAGTCCTAACAGAAAAGAACAGCGAATAAATCAAAAAATAAATACCTATTATGTGAATCAACCCAAACAAACTCATCTGCATTGGTGACATTAGTATTGACTGTCTCAAGAGATGAATGCCTCATGAGACGTCGCACTGCTGGCTCACTGGACTCACTTCCACTGAGACTTGAGTATGTAGAGGTAGAGTATCCAGTGTTGGACGTGTGGGACCGCATTGTAAGCTGCTGGATTGCCAGCTTGATGTCCTCCAAACCAGACCCAGATGGCACCAGCTGTCAAAGTTTATCAGTGCAGTTTGGCTCTATATTTCTACAGGCAGCATGTGGTGGTACATGTATTTTACAGACATGAAAGGTTAGTTTGTTAAGAACAGACCAAACTTAAGCTGACTGGAAGGTAATGAGAAAACTGGGAGAGATTAAAAGTAAACAGAAGGAATGTTGAGAGCTATGACTGTGTGACAAGGGGAAAGGAAAGAAAGAAGAAAAAAAAGAAACAAGACAAGGAGGAGGAAGAGGATGACATGAAGAAGAAAGTGGAGAGAAGGATTAGAAGATGATGAAGGAAGTAGTAATGGGCTACTTGATATTATCCCAGCATCTGCCAGATAGGTCTGAGGAAACCATGGAAAACTTCAGTCAAGACAGCTAGTGTCTTGAGCAATATTCAAACTTGGTAAACTCCAAATAAAAGTGAGATATTCTATCATTTAGAGAGCCTGTACACAAACAGAGCTTGGACCCCTGAAATACACCTCAGTATGGGGCATTAAAAGAAATGGAATTCAAGTCTGTAAACTTTTCAATCAGTGATGACATATAAGCACTCACTTTCGCAGGAGTTGCTCTGTGCCGGCTTCTATTGTGGCCAGCTTTCCGTGAGGCACGTGACTGGCTCTGCATCACACTGGCTGACAATCTGGACAACAAAGAGGCACATGTCACAATTATATTTCATTTCTGAGGTGTATGGAGCAGATGTAAACATGGAAAGCGCATAAATGAACTCTTCTGGTGGTGGGAAGTACTGACAAAACCTTATAAAATAAGTGAGGTGAAGTACATGCCACCAGTAATAGCAAGAATATTGCCCTAACCAGCAAATAATTCAGCTTTTGTGGGGTATTACATAGGGACTGCTAAGTTAAACTCAAATTCATTTCAAAATTCACTTTTCACTTGCTGACTGCATGTCATCAGGTGAGGAGGAGAAATCATGTTCATTGCCACTTTCTTCACTGCTATCTTTGGTGACAAGTGAAATAATGAAACTGTCTATCAAGTCAAGAAGAACCTTGACTGTGTCCCAACAATTATTTTCTTTCTTCATAACATCCTGACAGTAACCTTCCAAATTTTCTTTTGTGACTGAATTTATACCGTTTTTGTTAAAAGCTTGTAACCTTTGCAGTGACAAGTCTCCAGTAACATTGTTCTCCCTGAATACATGCCTAGTTTGGGCCTTCATTTGTATTCTAGTTACACATGTAAGGTTGGTGTAAAGTATGAAGCAGGCTGGGTGTCAATCATTAATTTAATTTCTCTGGGCTTGATAAATTCTAAGAACATGCACAGGCCTACTTTATGCACTGTTCCATTAATTGGAATCCTTTTGTTTCTCAGCAAGTTAATTATGCAGGCCTTTAAGGAATACCAGTTGGTGGCCTGTCTTCTTGCATACAGTGGTATGGGGCAATGTCTATAATAACTGAATACTGTATCAGATATAGCAGAAGTTAATTCCTTATTATTTTTCAGAATTTGTGATAGACAGCTTTTTACACAATTTGCACAATATGAGTAAAATAATTTACACTGCCATTATGTAGTTATAACCCAGTTTCAAATGCCTCAATTGACAAATTGACATGCACCCAAATTCATCATAACTTTGCCAGTATTTTGAAAAAGTCAAATTATTGTCAACTCTAGTAGTGAATACAATTTCATGATCAGCTTAATGAAATTGTACTTCCACTAAGTATTTATGGTGTTCTCAATCTATATGAGCTCTTTCAGTCAGAACTTGTATTTTCGACTGGCATTTCTTCCATCTGAATCCCATCTTCTTCATAAGTCTGTTATGAAATTTGCTACTCAAGGAAAATGTACTTCCATCTAAATGACTGGAAGAAGTTTTGATGCCAATGATAACTTTTTTTTTCTTCACAAACATAAAAATAGTTAAGGGTGTTCCTACCATACACATATAAAAATCACCAAAAAGCATAACTGTATGTTGATGCCAAAATGACCATTCTCTTTTTCATGCAAAGGCAGCAGTTCACCTGGGCATTCTTTATTCCTCACTTTGTTTTCTTTTCACATCTTCTTTACTGTTATCATCTCCACATCTGTGTATTCTACAGTTCCTTTTTGTTGCTTGCTTCAAAAGAAATAATAATGAGTTGTTCCTGACTTCCTCATCACACTTTTCCATAACTTTGCTTACTATCACATATCCTTCCAAATAATTTGTTTTGTTGAAGAGTATAATTCTCCTGGAAGTTATGCTCTGTGGTCTGGTACAAACTAGCCATAACTTCCAAGAGGACAGAAATCTTCAGTCACTGAAATGAGAACTTCAAATCTTATGAACTGTTTTGTTCTTTTTAGAAGGAGACAATCTAAATTTAAGAAACCAATGCACATTTTATAGCAAACTGTTGTCCATTCCCAAAACAAACATTTCTCAAACAAATAATGTTTTCCACAGAAATGTTCACAACTGACCAGCTACAATATACTACACTACAATATAATATATGAGACCATTCAAATTATTATACATTACATGAAAATATTAATGCTGTGTTCTCACACCAGCTCCTGCAGCAAATGTTTTGAATCAGTATGTCACACCATAGCCACTGACTACTGCAGCAGCAATAAGCAGTATCTTCCACTTATATTTCCAACACTTCCACAACTAATCGTAACATTAATTACCTCTCCCGAAAGAGACTCATCAGCTATGGCGTCCCACAAGGTTCCGTTCTGGGACCAGTGTTGTTTCTGTTATACATAAACGACCTGGAGGCCAGCATAGAACATGGGAAACCTACATTCTTTGCCGATGATACTAGCATTTTTATAGCAGGAAATAGCACTAACGAAATTCAAAGGAAAACAAATGAAACAATAAACAAAATCACAGAGTGGTTTGATAGGAATCGATTAACTATTAATAAAGAGAAAACAATAGCAATAGCCTTCCATCATCCTCAAAAACTACAACTTGAATGCCCTCCAATAAAGATTTATGACACTGTTATCAACTACACAGATCACTCAAAATTTCTGGGAGTCTGGCTAGATAAGCATCTAAGATGGACTATGCATACACAAAAGCTAACGAACAACTTATATAAAGTATGTTTTGGCCTAAGGGTAGTTAGAAGAGTAACTGGACTAGAGACTGTCCGCACGTTATATTATGCTCATTTCCAATATGGACTGACATTTTGGGGCAACTCGGTAAATGCAAAATTGATCTTTAAATTACAGAAGAGAGCTATAAGAGCTATGACCCAGGTCACAAAAACGACTAGTTGTAAACAAATTTTCAAATCATTACATATATTACCTCTACCATCTTTGTACATATACAAAACTCTAATATATATAAAATCCAATTCGAATGATTTCACAACCAACTCAGGTTTACACTCATATAACACAAGGAAAAAAGATGACTTTCACATCATCCCACGTAATACAAGTCTATGCAAGAACAACTTTAACAATGTAGGACTTCGACTGCTAAATCATCTGCCACGATATATTAGAGAAATACCAGTACTATATAAGTTCAAAAATGTTCTGAAAACTTACCTACTTGATCATTGTTTTTATCAAGTGGATGAGTTTCTCTCGTGTGAGACAAACACTAATCAATTATAATGACATAATTCATGAATAATCGGTTTTGGGAATCCCTACTGCGCAGTTTTCCTTTCTTTCTTCCAGCAACCAAGATAACACAGTCGGAGATGCACCTGAATGGGCTACTCTGGAGAGATCGCAGATGCGAAGAAGCTGCACCAGGATGGGAGAACAGATGTAGTGAAATGTTGCAGTGTAGAGTCTACAGTGAAACATTATAGCAGTGCTCAACGGGCTACCCTGGAGAGATTGCAGATACCAAGAAGCTGCACTAGGAAGGGAGAAACAGATGTAACGAGATGTTGCAGTGTAGAGTCTACAGCAAACGTCATACCAATGCTATCACCAAATTCATCAATATTATCTCAAAGGCCGCGCCATAGCTTAAGCGGTTAGTCACTGGCTTCCCACCGCTGCGGTCTAGTCAAGTGGGATTTGTGATGGACAAAGTGGCGCTGGGGCAGGTTTTCCCCGAGTACTTCGGTTTTCCCTGCCAATCCTCATTCCATCAAATTCTCCATAAGCATTATCACCAGTACAGGTACAATAGGACATATGGAAGCCGACGTGGCAAGGGGACCTAATATGGATTCCACCTCACACTATATGAAATCTTAACTATTGTAATCTATTGTAAACAATTTTAAGTATTGTAACTTTATTCTCTTATTGTAATCAGCCAATGTATAGTAACTGACTTGTCTTATATCATGTAACAATGATCTATAGAGACAAAATAAACACTTTACTTTACTTTACTTCTATGGTTGCAAAGCTTAGTCGTTAACTGTACTTATTTTTTATGTTCAGCTTGACTGATTTCTGCTTTGCTCCACTACTAATATTATAATAACAGTACTACTTTATGCCATTACTCATTCCAACTGTAACACATTTCAGCTTAACAGGCTGACTTGGATAACTTCTGTCTCCTTTAGGGACCTTACTGTCTAGACATTGCTGTCTATGGGAAATAGACAGCTATCAAAATGCTTACAAAGAAACTTTTGAAACTCAAACCATTTCTAAGTAGGGGATTTACTGTATATTACATTACATTGCACTGAATTCCATGGATCCAAAGTTAGTCAAAATGACTGTAGGATGTGGAACATGTCATATAAATACAAAAGCATGTGTATAGTAGCGATGGAGTTCTCACACAGGAGAAACCAAGAATACACAGTGACTACACACAAGGCTAGTTAAAGATACATAAGTTATTTTCTAGACAATAGGTATTCATCAACAGAATAGAATGAGTGTGTATTTAAGTATCCTTTCAGTGCTATTTTAAACCATGCCTTTTCATTCATAAGACCTTTGAGATCAGATGGCAGATTATTAAAAATGTTGATCCCAGCGTAATATGCGTTTTTCTGAAAGCATGAGAAGTTAGCAATTGGTTTATGAAGACAGTGTTAACACTGTGTACTATAATTAAATCTGAAAGTGTCCCATCATGACCTTCAAACTCTCCATCATATATAAATTCTGTCATATTGGGACCACCTACATCAGTGAAAACCTGCTGTCTTACCTCTCATCCTCAGGTACAGAGTTGAGGTGTGACCGATAGTGCTGGTGTCTCTCCACAGGAGGGGAAGAGCTCAAGTGTCCATCAGACATACTGGCATGCCCGGAACTCCGAGTCCCATCATCTGAAGAGCTGCCATTTGAGTCTTGTCTCCTCTGGTGCCAAGGGTAGACAACACAATAAATCAAAATCATATTATATCCCTTCTTCTGTAATATTTAATAACAGAAAAAGCATTTCTTGCCATTCCTCACCTGAATCAGTCTCAGTTCCTCTACACTCAGATGGTGGTGCAGGTGCCCACTTCGCCCACCACCCACTCCAGTATTGCCACCTCCAAGCTGCCGCACACTGCTGCTTGCTACAGTCTGTGAGGATGTTCTGGACAGAGACGCACAAAATCACAATGCATACAGATCTCTTGCAACATGCACTTGTTACTGATTGGTCACCCTCCACATCTCAAATGATAAACCAGGCCTGTGAAGTTGTGTCACAGAGAATTTTTCTAGAGGGCCATGTGGCCTTCTTATTGAAACATAAAAATCTTCAATATAGAATTACAGTAGATGGCAGATAAAACATTACATGTCAATCTTCAAGTCCCTCTCTGATGTTTGCGACTGTTAGGATTAAAAGAACTATTTCAAATTATAAAATTACATAACTGACTAACTGAGCATAAATCAATTATGTACGAGCAATACATGATGAAATGTTCACTGTCATAACTCTGTTAAACCTTCCTTTCCTTCCTCTACTGATGTGACCCAGACCACATGTTGCCTAACTTTTCTTAACATGATGATGGCTATGGGAACATGTTTCTCTATAGCAAGACTGCTTCACAAGACATCGTATTCTCGAACACTATTAGGTAAATTGCACAGTAAATAACAAAAATATACACAAAATCTCCTAGACTGCATAATATGTTACTTTAAACAATAAAAATTTCAGTGTGTATTGCTGCTATGTGACTGGCTAATGCAGCTAGGCAGCAACTAGTCTGCTGTGAGTTAATGTATTAAATCAAGACATTAAACAGTGCATTACTAGTTTTTTTAATTTTATTTGTGCATGTTACAAACAGTCTGCATTAAAACACATTTGCGGAAGAGTCACACTGTGCAACATAATGGTGAGAAAAAACTGCAAATAAGCGATCTGACAAGAGTGTATGGGCACTCTGTAGTATCTGCTATGTGTGTGCATATATTGTAACCATATAAATGGGAGAGTAATAGGAGATATCCTTCATACTAAGACACCCAAATATCTGGCTGACTGCTTACAGAAGGAACCAGAAGTTAATGCAAGCCTCCAACCTTGATGGGGAAGAGTTCTATTACAGTTGACCTTTAGCCATGAGGGATACTGAAACCCACTGATAGTGATGTGGGAGGTTCTCTCTCTATGGCTGATGCTATTTAAGTTCTTTCTGGAGGCTTGGTAGGATCTATTCAGATTCTCTCTAGGAATCATTTCACATATTCACTGAGTTACTGTGCAAGACTATTCATAGCTCATCACTCTGCATTACAGCACACAAGTATAAATTAGAGGAGTAGTCTCTCCACTGCCAGCATCACATCCAGCAGCTGTACTACATATCTGAGCAAAATTTTCATTTCTTGGGTTCTTCGGTCAACTCTTGCTGAGAATACAAGAATTTCCATATTACCTAGACTCATCTTCAGGCAAAACCACTCAGGCACCACATTTCTACACTGGGTTACCTAGGGAAATGGAGATAAGGGTTGTGAAAACTCACCTGTTCTGCACCTTCAGGTTACAATTCTGGTTCTCCTGAGACAGTATCACTGTTTTGTTAAAGGTTTCCTGAACTGCACTGTTGTTGCACATATCCACAGTAAGCCTGGTGCCTGGGTTCGTGTCCCGCTCAGGGACTAACTGTTCTACAGTGGGATCACTTCCCATGCTGGTGTTAGTAGTTTTCATGGAAGGGGTAGTAAGATTGTGAGGGGTGGGCGGATGCAGTTTGGAGGGAGTGGGACATCCTCGAAGCAAGATGGGAGGGGCAGGACTCTTATTAGTGCAAGCACTGAAGGCCTTTTCTTCACTAGCAATCTTGTTGACTGGAGAGCGAAGCGGGACCAGTTGTGGCTGACACTGAAGGTTGGATGTCCACTGTGGGCAGGAATAGGCACTTATAACTCCTAGGATCACGGTAAGATATGAAAACTGCTCCTAAAATTTCTTGTAGTAATTCATGAAAGAATTTATCGTTTTTAATAGCTCTCTTTCTTTATCAATGTATTATCAATGGAAGAGGTTATACATGCCATTGAAGTGTTTTCAGAAAGCACTGACAGAGGTGGAAGAGCATATTTGAACACATAAGTGAATTTCACAAATGTCATCCCATAGTAAAGACTAGATAAATGGCAGAATCATTTGGAACATAATATTTATGGCAGTGTTTTAATGTTAGCAGTGATGGAATGAAAATGGACAAAATCTGAATGAACTTGCTCCAATGTCAGTTTGCCCTACAAATGACACAACTGGGTATTGAACCAAGGTCAACTAATTGTGAATTATTGATGAAACTAACTACCGATGCCATATGGGACATCAATATGAAACTTATAAGTTAGATGTGGACATGCAACTGAATGACAAAACAATATCAGAAAGATGATTTCAAAAGGTGTTAAAATTCTATCAGTTCACAGAATCCTAAAACAGATGATTCCAGCTTTTACAATACAAAGCATTCTGGGAAACCACACTGTAAACCAGAATGTCATACATCTCATACTATTTTTCAACAGGTGCAATGTTTCATTCCTGACCATGTATTTGAAAAGTAGTTTTTCACAAAAAGGAGACTAGATATATAGGATTCAATCCAATACATATAAACTGTTAGCTACTATAACTGCTACAATGTTATGAAATAGTTCCCTAGGGCTATACATTCAAAGCATAAGAGTATCTTGTTTATGATAACTATTTTCATGAAGACTAGCAGTATCCAGTCAGAATATGCATAATTTAAGTGAGTTTCTGCACTGCAAATTGATCCACTGATGGCATAAATGTTGAGAATGTATAATGTCATAAAAGAGAGAGACCTCTGTTGGCACTGAATATGTACAAGCACCCAAGACAACAGTTTCTGCAACTGATTTTATAAAAAACACCTATGGCTAAAATGTATAACCTTCACCGAGTGAGGTACAAGCAAACTTCAGGCTGATGAGATGAGATTCTTGAAGAGTGTAATAAAACAATGAGAAGTGATCAAATTAAAATTGAGAATGACAGGGATATGGTAAAAGCCAAAATAATAGAGGACAATTTAGAAACTAACAGACTCAGGTGATCTGGAGATATTAACAGTTTATTTAATGGCACTGGCATTAGCTTAGACTACACAGCATCAAATGAGAAGATGATCAGTGAAAAATGAATTGTAAAGAATTTGGAAGGTAATGGTTATGGCCTCATTTGAGTACTTAACTCCTGCAGGTGCCTGGATGGACTGAAGAAGACCATGAAAAACCCATGTTGTGATAGCTGGTGTCTTCCTGAAATTTGAACATGGGACCTCCTGAATACAAGCAGGATCCTACTCACTTGATTGTGATATTCAGTGAAAGGCCGGAAGCAGCAAACTCCACTGGGACAGTGAAGATATCATTGGACGGATACAACGCATCAAGGAAATAATCAAAATGTTGATGTAGATTTGTAAATGCAATAATAATGATTTTCAACAGTCAGTGCAAGCATAAAAATAAAGATTAACATAGGAGAATATGCCTTGTTATTAGAAAATTACAGCCCTGTTGTTTTCCATTACCGTTTACCTGTGTCAGGTCACTGGGCCCTGTGATGAGAGGAGGCTGCTGGTATCCACCACAGCCAGCTGATGGCAGCATCTCCCTGCCTCCGCCTCCAGGTCTGAAACGAATGTGTCAGGATTACATGTTATGAGCACACACTCTCCAACTTTCTTCAAAGAAGTTTAGCCATAAGGTCAGCCAATGAAATGTTGTAAGCTGATCTTGAGCCTGGCTATTTACAGTACATGGAATAACAGAGATGAAAGTAAGCATTAATAGTCAAACACAGATAAGTCAAAACAAATAAATGATCTATGGGTGACCAAACTAATATCAAAGCATTCATAATCAAAAATCCCAATCATTGCAGCTACTGCTCTCTGTATTCATAACGCAATTCAACTGCCCTGAAGAAAGGAGGCGATATGTTCCTCCGAAACGTCGGTTAAAGCCAAGAATACACGGCGCCAGATCCCAGAAGACGACTTTCTTCATAGTCATCGCCGTGAAAACCTCAAAACTTACAAAAAACTGTCTTATTTTCAACTTGCACACTACACCACCCTAACTACTGTTCCCATAATTTTATGGATATATACTGCAGAAACACAAAATGATGAAGGAAAAGGTTCACTCTCTGTTTCCTTTTGTAGTTCCCTAAATCCTCCATGGATTATAGGATATAAACGACTCCAAGAAGAAACTGGAAAAACATACAATTGAAAAGGCTTGGTTCACAAGTATGCATTTACATGATAAAGTCTTGTTTTATAAACCTTACTAATTTGAAGGTAGTGAAATGTTCAGGGGGGTTCACTCAACTATTCTCAACAATCACTACATGGATTATTCACAAAACAAATAATCAAAGTGTAATCAGGAGCATAATCTTGTGACATTTATGAGGTCTGACAAAAAAAAAAAGACAAGCAACACCATGGTGAGCTTGAGCCTCTCTGTGATTGATGATGAGTGCTGCCACCTATAGGTTCATGTCGGACAACTACATAGTAGTAAAGTAGTCCTGACTAGTCTAGTGAGTGCAGAGCTGCTGTGCTTTAGCTGCAGTGGTCTGACAAAAATGGGTGATAATTATTTTGAACCATGAATCAACATGACATTTTTGTTCAAACTTGGAAAAATCGAACCAAAATTTTTTAAATTGAAAAGAGGTTGTGTCAAAAGCATGTGTTTTGAATGACGTAAACTGTTTTCCAAGAGAAGGGCTGAAGCAGAGTTTGACAGCCAGCCTGGACATTCGACAACATCAAAATCTGATGAATACGTCAAAAATGTGAGAACTCTGATATGGAATGACTCATATCTTATGTCAGAATGATTGTAGAAGAACTGAACATCAATATAGAGACTGTACAACTGATTTTGACAGAAAAATTGGCAATGATTCTGCACCATGACAACAAACAGCTTTTGGGGAGGAAAATAAAACTGATATTGTCCAGGAACACCCCGCTTATTTACCAGGGGATCACATTTTGAAACCACGGAAGAGATTCAGATGGTTATGTTGATCATTCTAAACATCCTGCAAATGAATGACTTCGGGAAGTGCCTTGACAGTTGAAATAATGCTGGAATTCATATACAGCTGCGGGAGGAACTAATGTGAAGAAGACCAATGCTGAATAAAATTTAATGCAGTGGCACCAATGAGTAAACGCTCGTTATTTAACAAGCAAATCTCATACTTAGCCCAGAAAAATTCAGACATTCAAAACACTACAGCATGAGCTTAGCATAGGGGAAATCAAGTTGCCTAGCTTGTGAGTGTCTCTCATACTGATTGGATTGTTCAATAAACCACTCAGCTGATCCCATAGACTGAGACCACCTGAGTTCCTGCTACAAACTTCCTGAAGGATGACACTCCTTTAACAATAATGGCAAAGCACTATGTGAGTGCAGTTCACTTCACTGCAGCACAGAGTCCACAAGTAAGCAATAAGTGCAGAGAGTTAGTGAATCATCTATCCAATTATTGTGTCAGTCAGTCAGTCAGTCAGTCAGTCAGTTAGTTAGTTAGTTAGTTGTTCAATTAGTTAGACAGTCAGTCAGCTCTCAGTTGAGTGCAGTGCAGAGAACCAAAAAGAAAAAATGAGTGCAGTAAGTGAGCAGTGCCATTGCTGTAAAGTAGCAAGTAAACAAAAGAAACTGGCCTTAAGAGCATAAGCGGTTACAGATGGTGGGGCAGTAAATGCTCCATAATATAGATAAATGTTACAACTGATGTCCCAAGCAGGATTCAAACCAGCATGGTGGCACTGGAGGATAAATAACAACAAATGTTATAATATTATCCACCAAATGCCTACATTTCAGTGCAGCACTAAAACTTAAATTAGTAGTGCATCAGTAACAAACAGCGGGACACAAAAGAAGAAATCTGCCACATAGTTGCATACCCTTTGACTGCACCCTCCCAGACTTCTGCACTGCTACTGATGTCAACCTTGTCCTTTGAGGCTCCACAGGCCTGCTGAGTTCCCGCAGGATGAGCCTTCTCATTCTTCTTGACCACCACTGTACCCCCACTTGTCCAATTTTTCACATCCGGCAAGTCTTCCCTAGACTCTGCCACCCAACCTTCCACTGCTGCTATATCATCTATCAACTTGGAGTTTTCTATCCTTACACTCTGTCCATTAATGTTCCACAACAACTCACATGGCTTCCATAACTTGATCCCTAACCTTGCTTCTTCATTTTCTTGAGTCACTCTCACCTGAATCTTCTTGTCATTATTCTCCCACTCTGATTTACACAGTGGAATCCAAAGCTCATGTGCTCTATCTTTGCATTCTGCCTTCTTTGCAGTTGAGTCCTTGTTCTTCCAGCACTCAATGATTGGCATCTTAATGTCAGAGATCCCCAGTTCAAAGTCCCTGTCACCTTCAACGCTTGACTGTTTGTTCTCTTTCTTCCGAAAAGGTTTGCTTTGTCTGTTTCTAAAGAGAGGCTGTGGCTTCATATGTTTTGCTACATGATCAGGATTTGTTGGCCTCTTTAGAATGAAGTTATCTGTGCTTAATGACATGCCACAAGAAATGCTGGGAAGGAAACCATCAAGCTCTCGGCACAAGTAGCAATGACAATCTTGCTCACACGACATAGTTATGAGCATCAAAACAATACATAATCATCATAATTCAGCCCATAATCAAATTTATTTTCACACTGCACTGACAAACGTCCATCTTGACATAAGAGAAAAATGCACAGTCTTCTTCAATAATATCGTCTTGATATGAATGAAAGCTTGTTTAATCATTCGTTATATAGTATAATATAAAGTTAGGCTGTATAAAAAGTGGCAGGGATAAGTGGCTTCTTCCCGTCACGTATGATGACTAAAATTCTGGATGCATTAATTATGAACTATCTCATCTTCATTAACTTGATAACACTAATAATATTTGATAAAAAGCACAAATTATGGAAGCTCCTCATTATGCAATTTTCTCCTTCCTCTTTCCACTTCCTTCCTCATGGGTCCAAATATTCACCTCAGCATCCTGCTCTCAAAGAGCCTAAAAATATGTCCTTCCACTGGGATAAGAGATGGAAGTTTCATATTCATAGAAAAAATCAGGTAAAATTTTAATCTTTATAATTTTGACAGAAGGTGGAAAGACTAACGAATCTGAATAATAAAGCGGCAACCATTCACCAAATACACGTATAATCTACAATCTATAATTCTGAGCATATGCAGGGCATCATATTTTGATGGAAAATGTTCCTGTTCTTTCTTTACAATACAGTAAAGTTCCCATGACACAGAACTGAGATTTCCTCTGCAAAGGAGTCAATGTTGACTTAGAATTACTATGTGTTTTACAAATATATGAGTATTAAACACATAACACGGGTCTTGGTGCTCATTTATTGTAGATAAATTCTATCCGTTGAAAGCTACTCACATTATATGGGCACAAAAACAAAAACTATGTTTTTCTTCCATTTAATTCAATATACATAAAATAAGAATCTTGTATCTGACTCTGCCTAGTTGCAGAAGTGGTAGTGAGAGAAGTACCTATGCCTCAGTTGGAGCTGCAGTCTTGACCTTAACCAAAAACAAACTGCCATTGTTAATACACTACATATTCAATGAAATCTTGAGTATTTAAGAACTGATCAATGGATAAGGTATCTGCGAAAACTCCAGACAGAGATGGAAATTGTTATTTTCGAGATTCAGACCATTTATTACATTTGAGATCGTTCAGAATAAAGTGTGTCTGCTTATTAATATAAGGGAACACTGAAAAATGTACACTGGAAGAAACTGGAGTATTTCTGGTAATCTATATGTGATAGATATTCCTGAAAGTGTCAGTGTCATTTCGTATCTGTGGGCCAAATCACCCCATCACTGACTGTTACGCACAGTTGGTGAATATGTGACTGAAACAAATGTATCTCTGCTTTTTTATTTTGTATGCGGTTTATTTTATGATTCTGTATCTCAGACTATAAAACATCAGATGGTACGATAATTGGTAAATGATGAATTGGAAAAGATTGGGAAGGAAGTGGTTTGGTCTAATTAAAGTATTATCCTGGCATATGCCAGGAGCAATTCAGGTAAATCATAAAACACCTTATTTGGTGCCCCAGTTGAGATTCAAATACAGCCCTTACTAATACAAAACTAGAGCATTACTATTATATTAACACTTTCAGTGCTTCTGTGCATCTCTATTTTTTAGTGGTTAACAAGACAATGGGCATCATGATACCCTGTTGATAGTTTAAGAATAAAAGGCGGTAGATAGTTTTCACAAAGCCTACTTTTTATAAGCAAGCTTTGACAAAAAATATTTCATCTAGATATTGTACCATACTGTTATTCTATCAAGTTTAGTATCTTAATACAGAATTAGGTGTTGCTCCAAAACTTATATTCTTTAGGTTAAATATTTATGATGGAGTTTGTCCTTAACAATTCACCACTGAGTTTAAAAAATGTTGTTTATACAACGTTTAAAATAAAGACCGTAAAGATCAATGAGACCCATATTTTATGACATGTACTAATTGCTTGCATGATCAGCAGTTTTAAAGAATAAATAGATGCCTTGAGTTCCATTTATA